AATAGTTAAAATTTGCCGAAAGAGCCATCTCTTTTTAGTGAGTCGAACCGAAAGAGCCGGATCTCTAAAAAGAGCCAGAAATCCCATCACTATTCTATACAGCTGGGTGGGTGCTATGATGTTACTGATAGTGAACTTTATTTTATTCATAAGGTTAGTTAGTAGAGTTGCCAACCGTCCCGTAAAAAACGGAATCGTCCGGCATTCAGAGAAATTATTACGTGTTTCGTATTGAGCTGAAAAGAAACAAAGTTTGTCCCGTACTTCAGCTAGAATAGAACAGACACAAAGCTGCTATTCTGCGTCTTTACGCTGTCAGCTGCCTCTTCTTCTCTCATTCTCACCCCCTCCCTCTCCTGTTGCTACTTCAATAATGAAACTGATCAATGATCAGCTGATCGGCTTTTCTCTGTTCTTTGTTTATCTCCCACTTTCCGCCAGAAAGAGGAAGCCGCCGGATGTTGCGCTAAACAACAGCAGCACATTTAAGCTTGATCAGCTGTTGTTAGAATTTATTTAATATTAATTTAAGTATCAGCTGATGTTTGCTGGAGCCACAGCTGGAAAAAGTGCTGGTCATGATATCGGTTTGGATATCCTGGTGAGAGGGAAACATGAAGATGAAACCAGGAGATGTCCTTACTGGATCATCAGAGCTGAACAGGTGATGGAGAAACAGGTTTACCTTTTAGGCACATTGACTTCTGAGGAAATTTTAGATGGCACTCATCATCAGAAAGGTTGCCGACCCCTGGTTTATGTTGATGTGCTGTGTTTGGTTTGGTTGCATTATGTTCAGTCATCTCCCCTTTGGTCTTGTCTGCCCAAACCACAGTGGCCCTCATTTCCTTAGTTGTGACTAATTAGTGCTCACTCAAACAAATTTTAGCCCCGGATACAAATTTGTCTTCAGTCACAGTTCTGCACGGGAGATGAATGCTGATTATGGCACATGATACAAACACAAAGGGAAAACATTTGTAGGGATGATGAAATGAACTTAATATACAAGAAAAGCAAAGAAATTGGATTTATAATAGACGCTCATTTAAAAACATAAATGTTAATAATTACTATGTGTTTCACGATATCTGTCTAACATTTTGTTCAGACATATATACATACATATGCTATCCTTATTATAGTAAGATTATTATTATTATAAGATTATAAGATTATTCTGTTTATCTTATGTTAGCAAAAGAAAACATCTGATAAAGGAGATTAAGCACGGTACTAAAGTCTAAAATGATTAAATACACTCAACACAAATTTAAAGACTGCAGCTTTTTGTGCGTATATGTATTTTGCTGATTGCCCATAATTGTGACATGGGTAAAACCAAATGCCAATCAATATAAGCTATAGATATTAAAAAACAGTTATAGTCAGTTAAAAATCTTTGTGGTTCAGTTTAGATTGTGGTTCAAGCAATGACTTAGTGTTTCAGTGAGAAGAAATGTGCTACAAAAAGTGATGAAAATAAAACTGATGCTTAAAATAAAAAAGCATAGCAACAAGAGAAATGGCCTTTTGCTCCTATTTCTGTTCTTTTAAATGTTTATGTAGACTGTTAACTAATTTGTAATAAAACTAAGAAACTCAACGGCTATAAATGAAGAAGAAAGTACAGAGTGTGTCTGTGTCTGCCCAACACTGCAGATAAAGTAAAAGGTCATAAATCGTTTCATGATTACCCGACAAGCCTATGGGGGCGCACACACATGCACTCCCCCCTGACAAACGCTTCACCAGAAGTAGACACAACGTGCGCTTCAGTACACAGTGGACACCATGAGACTGGTACTTCCTAACCCAGGACTGGATCTCAGAATCCCCAGGCATGAAGATCTGGAGAGGATGGAAAAACAGGAGGCTGCAGACAGACCCAAGTGGGACAACAAAGCTCAGTATATACTAACCTGCGTGGGGTTCTGTATCGGTCTGGGTAATGTTTGGAGATTCCCTTACTTATGTCAGAGTCATGGAGGAGGTAAGCTAAGACAGAAAGAGCAAGATAACATATCTGGTTAATAATCAGACAATTTAGTGATTTACTGATTTTAAAAAATGTGTGTTTGTGGTATACAGGAATTAATTTTAGAATTAAAAACTTTAACTGCAACAAAATCACTGGACCTTTGTACCGACACTTAAATGGAGTTAAATTGTCACCAATTCATTAATACAAGAGAGTGCCCTTAGGTTTGCAGTCAAGCTGCATTAATGATTATACACCGAGATGTCCCCTGAGTCCAGCTGGTTAAGTTAAAACACAATCTTAATTATGTAATGAGAGGTGTTGACTTTTATGCAGTTACCTTATTGCACTCAAATATTTTAAAATATGCATTTATTTTGTAATTTAATTATTCTTTTTAAATCGTTAACTCGAGCACAGTATCATGAGCTATAGCAACGAGTGTCCTTTCTGTGCAATAGTGATGGTGTATACTGATTAATAGAAAACAGCAATGTGACCTTTCAGGTTGCACTGACACGAAATTGTATTTTTAGCCTACAAAAAAAAGTGCTAAATATAGCCAAACACATCTATGACTAACCATAGTGATAAACATCGGCCATCGTATTTGTACATAAGAGCATATCTAACTTTTAGGGCCACACAGTTGTAAATGGCTAACTGCTATTAATAACTTTTATTGGAAGATGTTTTAAATGATCATAAATATGTCGAATTTTGAACATTTTTAAGTTCCTACACACTTCATCGTGTTGTCGCGTTATCAGACAGAATCAGACAAACGGACACTTGTTAAAAACATAAAGCATTAAAATGTAGACTAACAGAAAACACTTCATTTAACAAACTCAGAGCCTTGTTCAAAAAACAAAAATAAACCCACACAATCTGATTATCAGTCCACTTCTTGTGTAATTTGGAATACTTAGCCTTCATGTACATGGATAAACTGAAGGGTTAGACGTATCTCTGGAGTCCTGTGTCAAGTTCTTGCTGGATCTGTTTTCTGTTTATTCAGGACGTGACTTTCAGGTACCGTTCATCAACAAATCATTACTCCTCCACCACTGTGGCAGCTGGTATGAGGTCTTTGGGCTCATATGCTGTGTTAATGGCCAGACATCTGCACTTTGGGTTTTTTTCTGTCCAGCGTACAACGGCCCACTTTTACTGATATGTCTAATATGACAAAATTACCATTAGATTTATGAAATGCGCAAAGCAGTCTGTTTTGTTCTTACCATCATGCGTAAATTGAATCTGAATCATTCTGAACCAAATCCGATTTTTTTCCATTAAATAGACACACTTGCCTCTAGGTGAAGCAAAGAAAGTGGTGATGATGTAGCAAGGGAGGAGCCTGCATCACCATGCCAAGAAAGCAGAAACTGAAACTATTAAGTCCAAAGAGGAAGCACAGCTTTCCATTGGAGTGATGAAAGCCTCAAAAATTTAAAAGAAAAAAAAGAGCCTCTGGCTGAAAAAATAAAAGTTCTGAATATAATTTTTTCTGAGATGATCACTGTGGCTCAAGTAAGAAAAAGATTGGACATCAAACCCGATATGTTAAAACACTAATAGACTACAAGAAAAACAAGAAAACACCTCGTGGTCCGTTAGACCGAAATGAGAAACCCACTGTGTTTAAGAAAAAAAAAGCAAAGAAATTAGACTTTAAATGATGACATCCAGCAATGATAAGTAATTTTAATAAGACTATTAGTAGTAGTAACAGTATTAGTGGTGGTATTTAAATTTTC